AATTTTTTTACTTAGTTGAGTAATGGACTTTCTAAGAGTCTAGCTTGAAACATGTATCGAAGCCCTACATGCGTTTCTTTCGTTTGTTCTTTCTGACTAAACAAACGGCGGAAACCGATTACCCTAATTATCAAGTCGTTTCACCAGAATCGGATTTAGTTATCTCATAATAAATGCCTCACCCTAATGCCTCTTTCGGTGAATTTCTGATATTGTTGATTATTTGGACGAAACGACGTTAGCTGTTACGGGCGGCCTTGTAAAGCTAACAGTGGGGAACGACAAAAAGTGTTCCTTTTCTTAGAACACAAACGTTTCCTAATATTATCAGCACTATATTTCGGCTAACTTATTAACTATATGAAACACTGACATTGCACTTTTTACGATCGCCAAAATATGATCAGAAGTTGGTGGAAGTGTCGTACGAGATGAGATAATTAATTTTGCCATTCGGGTGTGCCTATTGTAAGTGATAGGCGTTCCATGGTTCGGGCGTCTGTGACAAAAAGGAACAAGCTGGTCGCGTCACGTGTTCATGTTGTGGCCCGCCATTCTACGTAGAACTTGTCTGGTAGTTAGGTGTTATTCATTAGGAGCAAAGCTCCCTACTAACTTAACCCACGATGAAACGTTCATCCAGGACGCAGAGCAGTTACATTCGAAATCGCCAATTGATGAACGTTTCCCACAGTGCTAAGCTAATCATTAGATTCAAATAACGCGCTTGATATTACCTAGCTCTGCATGGCACTTATCAGTCAATGGCTACTAGCACGGGATGCAGGCAATCGTCACTCGTCTACAGCACTACAGTATCCCTAGTTTTCATCATTTAGCATATCGACTACGGAGGAGACGTACGTAAAGCTGCCTTCAAAAAGCTTCCAACAAACTGACTAATACGCTTAACATCTATGGAAAAAGCGGGTGTTCTGGCTCGATAAAAAAAATTCGTCATCATCTTTCATTTGGGCAATTAGCCTCTCTCTGTGAAAATGCGATTTCGATTGCCACCTAGTGCTGGTCAGGCTGGCGCTTTTCTTCGATTCACCATTCATGCACCCCTGACACGCTGCGTACGAAAACATTGATCAACTGTCTTGGCGGCCCAGACTATGTACGAACCCGCAAACAGTATTAAAATCAAATAATAATAGCAGTGATAGCTATGCATTTTAGTTTTTATAATATTTGTTTTCAAAAAAAACAGAGTGGGCCGACCATGCTTGATATAGGATAGTGCCGACATGGCGCTGTGGTCGGACCCGGTTATTCGAACCCATCGATAATGTGATTTAGGTATAATATGAATGAGATCTCTGTAATACATGTCTATGATTATATACATAATCTATTATGGATAGCTGGATTCCCCGTTAGAAATAAGTAGCGCACATAGATAAATAATCGAGGAATCGACTATTACATTAAGTGTTACATAAGTGACGCAATTGAGACTCGGAAACGCTCAGTGAGGATGATTGACATCTGCATGGAGGGCATACGACTAGCGATAGACACCAATCAAATAAAGACCAAGGTAAATACTGCTCGGCATGGTGTTTAGGACTAAGTAGAACTTCAGAGGCAACTGAGAGATTATTAAGAGATTGAAATACGGATTCCTTCCTCCGGCAAGCTAATGCCATGAGGTTCTTTCACTGTTCTCAACGTTGTTTCATTCGGCAAATCGTTGCATTTTTATTACTTTATATCTAGTATTTCAACGAAAGATTACTTGAAAATGACATTTTATCTCACTAGATTGTGTGCTTTATTTTTTTATTTTATTTATTATTACGCTTCGTTTACCTAAAAACAGTTCTCAAGTTATTTTTAGTCCGGTTGGCTGATATATTGCATATCTAGACAGAACACAATCCGCGAAGGGTTAAATGGACTAGAGCATGTCGTACATCCGTTTCAACGTCATCTATGTGTGGGTATTATCCGTACAGGCCTATTTTTAGGACCACTTCCCCTCAACTGGCCAAATCTGATGACATTTTATTTCATCTGACTTCGCATCGGCCAGGGGCTAAATGATAGTCAACAGAATATTAACTCGTAGATGTATCTATATCAACTACTCCCTTTTCTAATGTTGCTATGGTTGAGGCGCTGTCTCGTTCTAATTAGGGAACGGTTTAGATGTTTGCGTATCAGCCAGGCCAGATATGTAAGTTGAATTTTTCTTGGAAAAGCCTAAAGTAGTAGTTGGGCACGGAGGATAAAAACAATCGAAACAAACCAACGAAACTAATAGACGATCGGCCAAACAGCGGAATAAGGCAAGGCAATTAGGGACAGAGAATTACATGGCGTACAGTTGGTTCATACAGTATTACCATATTCGTTAGAACTTCCATGATTATCTATTAGCTGTGAATGCATATAACGGTGTACTCCAGGAATAAAAGAAAGCCAGTATATGCTAAGCGCTCATGCCCTCTGCATGACGCACAAGACACCAGTCCTGCTAATTCCTCTGTTGCATGAACATGTAGGTAAGCCCAGAAGAGTATGAACGCAACTTTACATCTTTCGTTCCTAAGTCACGTTCCGTCGTCAATTCAATATGGCGACTATAAGTATAGAAATAGATTTATTTGCCTTTTCAAGGTGCATTATTTTAAACAATATTTCTACAATCGTATCATGGCCACTTAATGCATAGCGAGCACTTTTTCTCAGTGAGCTAATACCAGAAAGAAAATTCCCATTCTCTCTGTTCATCATCTGCTCGGGCCACTGATTCAGAGGTTTGCAGCCTGGCCAGCCATGCTAGTTAGATTCTAAGCACTCATTCTTTTTTTACCATTTGACCAGACGGCAAGGCCAAATTGGTTTGTCTCTATTGTTGATTGAATCTGTACGCAGTGGTAGTAATGCAGGAAATTTACTACATTGTTCCGCCATATGCTACTCGTCACTAAGCACTTGGTCCGAGCTGTTCGGTCCTGTATGGAGTAGTGAAACGCCAAAGAACAGGGCTCTATCAACTGACTCGTTCCCTCAATGAGCTCGAGGCTTCCAATAGAGCAATGGAATCGAAGTACTTCTCTGCAGATGTTTTTGTACAAGTGCGACATTTGCTTCTGGTCCAACATAGTGCAGCAGGCGGTAGGCAGTCTTTAAATTGAGCCGGAATGTGAGTGCGCAAGTGGTAGGGAGCCGCGAGACAAGCGAACTGGCGAGGACGAACGTGAAGATGGAACAGCTTGAAACAGACAGGGACGCACGAATGGATGGACGAACGAACGAGCGGTTGGCGTGGAGGGGGGTGGGGGGTGGGGTAGTGGTGACCGGGCGCGTCGTGTCACAACAGCGGTGGGCACTGGCAGCGGCGCTAGTAGTATTAGGCTCAGCTGTCGTTGCGATTGGCAGTGTTTAGAAAAGTCGAGCAAGTAACAGTAGTAGCGGTTGTCGTAACAGTCATTTATATGGCCGTCAACTCCGTCGGCGGGTGCTGCCCGTGCTAGTGGTGGCGACAGTGGGAGTCGCTTAGAAGCGGAGCCCACTCGACGGGAGAACGACGGCGACCTTTTGAGAGGCTTTGTTATCCTCATGGACCAGGGTACGCCAGAAGGGGGTAGCGGTGGCGGTGACAAACGTTCTGCTGGGGAAGAAACCCTCAAAGCTAATTAACTTGCGGTAAGTGGCACTCATCCTACTGCCTCTTCTCACCATCTCAGTCAACCCTGTTAACCCTGGGCTAGCTCGTAGTTAGTTGGCCCCCGTTATTTCGTACCTCACCAAACAACCGACCGATTGGTAGGCAGATTTTTTCGACCCCGATGTCCCTGCCATTCCTATCTCGGCACAGAGAGCCTCTCTCTTGGTCGTCTGTTGAGCTGCCATCACTTCTGCAGTGGCCGTCGTCGGTTCGCTAGCTCACTTTGTGCTTCGAACAGCAGCGCGTTACTTCCCACTCACCACCACGATCGTTGCTTCTATTACTACTCCCACAACGTCACAATCCCCCCAAACCCGGTCGAACGCTCGTACAAACTTCCTCTGCGCAAAACTCGCGTCCAAACGATAGACAAACACATCTAGGGAAACGGCGAAGGAGAGACACGCGGTGTTTGGCATCGTGTTCCTGTAGTACACACAGAAAGCGCGGCACCGCAGCGTATAGAACTAGCACTCGAAGGAGTCACTTAGCTTCGCGGTTGCCATCGTCACTGTTATTCTCCTGCTTGTCATCGTCTACTGCACCAATAGCTTCTCCTTGAGTCATTGCCGCTCTCACCAACATTCTCTGTCTAATAACGCTCATTGGCTGGATGGGAATAAGCCGAAGGAGGGCGGTGGAGCAAAGGACGAACAACCAGGAAATGCGGGGCTTTGAAATACACGTGAAGGGTGACTATGGGAAAAGGAGTACTAGGGTTGGAGGCTGGGGCAAAACGGAACAGCAGCAACAGTCGTAGCAGCTAGTCGTCTGGATGTTGGATGTCTTTGTCCGTTAGCATAGTCTCCAAGTTCGCAGCCAAACGGCATTTTCGGCCTTTCTTTACGGGCTTTTGGGCGGCGGCTAGAGATAGGCAGAAAAGAGATGGTCATAGTAGTAGTAGTAGTAATCAGACAGGAGGGATCCTGGATGCGATAGGGCAACTTAGAGCGAAGAGGCCGTTGCGCGATTTCGGCTCCTTTTGGGAGTCCGCAGTGGGAAATGCAGAAAGTGAGTGCAGAACAGAAGGGGAAGTTCGAATGCAAAAGCGGATGGGGACGCTTTTGTACCGAGTGGATATCACCTTTTTAAGCAACGCGGCCCTCCGCGTTTTTTCTTATCTCTCTTTATATTTACCTCTTACCAGCATACCCTACCGCAGAGAGTCGAATCTTTAGTTTCCTCTCCTTTGCCCGCTCTTCCAGCCCAGCGGTCTTAGCAACCCAAAGACACCGAAGCAACGGTGGCAGCGCAGCACTCTGTCGCTAGGGGCTCATAGGCAAGACAGCCTCTTCGTAAGAGGACGGAGACTAAATCGACTACTGCTGCCACTTCTATAAGGTAACTAGCAGTCTTGCAAACAAACTTGCAAGACTGCCAGCTGCATCGGCGAAAGCCGAACGAGTAAGTTGTGCGGTGATGCAAACCACGCAAAAGAAGTAATGGAAACGGCAAAAGCAGCAACAGCAGAATAAAGAAGAAACGCGGCTTCCAGCAAAACCTCCACCATCACTGCTGCCGTCACAGCCGAGGTGGCAATGAAGAAAAAAGAGCTAGTTGGCAATGTATATGGGCATAGAAGGCGGCAACGACGCTGATTGGTAACAACCAGTGCAAACCAGCCGGAACCACTCTAAGAGCAACGAGAGTAAGAGATGAAAGAATCGCGGTAGAACATGCTCGTATTCAGGAAAAGTAGAAAGCATGTGGATAACTGCTGGGGCTGTGGAGGCTAGTGCAAAGTTTTTCGTGGATGCGGAGTCGGTTGACTGGTTAGATGGGCAGCTATTGCGTGTCACACGTGCCGTGCTGGTTACCTAGCAACCTACCAGACGGTAAATGCTTTTACCTGACTCATTCTGCTGACAGCCCTTGCTTGGTGAGTCCGCTGGTCTCTAGGTAGGTCAGATAAATATACGAAGTTCATTTTATCATTGAGGATGAGGTATTACAAAGAAAAGCGAAAAACGTGTCGGTCAAATTCATGTATCGATTTGCTTGTAGCTATAAAATATGGCAACCTCAAGGTATACGATGTCATCAGATCCATGTTTCAATCAATGCGTGGCTTAAAGCACTGGATCAAAGCTAACTTTTTCCTATAATAACGAGGTAACTTTTATTAAACATGAAGTAATGTCGACTCTATTTGGTACTGCTTGGAATAGTACATATAATTATACTTAACTAGGTGGTGTCAGCTAGTACTTTTAGATAAGGTCTGATAACTAAGGCAGTTTTGCTTATTCAGCTCACTGCAATACTACGATGATTTTAGCTCGTTTTTAGCCAAGGACAATTAAGTCTGTATGCAAAATAAAGAAAAGTCTTTGTTAAGCTAAAATAATGGGAGTACAAATAGAAAGACGTAAACCTAAAGTCGATTTCTAGAATATACTTAATTAAATAAGATATAATCAAGGAACAAAAATTATTAATTGAAGGTGTGGGTAGCAGAAAAGTTACACAGAGCTCGATGACTGATATTCACAGAATAACCACCAGCTTAAACAAGTCACCATCACAACAGACGTGGGATCTTTATTATTTTCCACTGGGAACGCCTGTAGCACCTTAAAGTTTAGTATTAAAGAACGTTGATCCACATTATGCAATACCTTTGCGTTTCTCTTTCTATAATTTGCGTCACCTTTCAGATAGATCAATATACACTTACTTTACAAATTCACAAATTAGAATCCATGTTGAACAAAAATAGGTTTGTACTCGAATTCGTTCTACGCGCGATGCGTTTTGCCCCCCTTAGATATTTTCCTTGTTTTTCATTAGTTGGTAGCCCTCTCTATTCTGAACCATACTCCAAAGTTCATCAAAGCCGTTGGGATAGTACTGAATAAACTCTCACTGGAATGTGTTATCTTTCCTAATCCTTTTTTACTGTACTCTACCAGAGAGCTTTTGAATGGCTACGGGCACCGTCACCAGGAATACGACGGTGTAGCGATTTTTATAAAACTTAACTCGCAAAAACAGATAGCTTTGAAACGTGTATTTTTTTCCTATTTATTACCTTTGGCCATGTCTCATCAAAGGCTTTGCTCGTAACGTTCTGCTTCTGAGGGCCGCAAGTTTGCTCGAAGAAACCCTATTTCGACCACACGTCACCTGGATACTTCGTTTCTTTAAGCCTCATCACAGATTTTGCCCCAACAGGGGAGTCCTTCGCAGAATTTGCTCCCATTTTACCTATTCCTTTTACGGGGACACTTTCGTCCAGTCAGTCAGCCAGCCAGCAGGCGTACCGAATTGCGAAACCTAAATAGCTCAAATAGGAGATCTGCCCTTGCAGATACGGCAGGAGTACAAAATTTGAATTTCATATGACCTTTTGCGAAATCCGACCCGCGCGTCAGCTCCTTGGTGGTCGACTCGGTATTTTCAGGTACGGAGGCAGCTTAAAGGATTTGAGCAGAAAGGCTGTCTAAAATATATTCACTAGAGGACGAACACGATAAAGAAATAGAGGAGGAAAAGTACTTGTAGCAGATCTACAGCGCACGCAGGTTGGGGATAGGTAGTAGTTGATATTCTTTTTGTACTACGACAAAAATAATAATGATAATAGTAATACTAAAAAATAATGCCAAAACGTAATAGTCCCTGACCAGTATGAAAGAAAACTCCGGAGGCCAAATCAGCAGGGTAATCAGATCCTCCTTACTTTAAGTTCATCTCTTAGTATGCCAATATTACTTGCCTTTTTTTTCACAGCTATCGATGTCATGGTATGTTTCGCCGACCCACTTACAGCTTTAACGCATGTGGCATAAGAAAAAGCTAAAGGCAAAATATTGTTTCTTGTGTGCAGTGATAGTGTACATTACGTTGAAGCCGAAAGGGCATGAGGCTAGACATGGGTTCCGAGGCTCTCCGGAACGATGGATGGGGCATCCTACACCCGAAGATGAACAAGGTAGCAACGGCAGTTGGATACGAAAAACGTGAACAAATAGCGTCCACCAGGATGGCTTTAGCACACCTTTCGTTTCTTCTAAGTCACCCGAAAGAGTTTATACATATGCTCCTCCCAAAAAAAGAAGTTCGTTTATTACAAAATAACTACGCGGGTTGGAGTAATTTTGCTTCAGTCGTCTATAGGGCTGTGTCAAACTCTCTTAAGCTTTCACCTTTTTTTTTTTACATTGACAATGTGCAAACATTTTATTTTGTTACCTCTGCGTGATACAGGCCTACATTCAGCATACTGGCACACAATGGGATGTCGTGTGATTTCTCAGAAATCTTTCCAGTTTTGCGTCCAATACTGCCGTTGAGCATTGCTTCAAACAAGTGGTTCCTTGCGGCATGAAGCGTGTTTAGGCGAAGTTTTGAACCTGGACCACTCTATGTGTCTCTCAGCTTAGTGGATGTTAATTAGCACAGCGTCAACTGCGGATATTTGCGACGCTTGGGAAAAGATCGGTCAAGGAGTTGCCGAAGACGTAGGGTCAAAGGAAATTGAAGGGCGATTCGTTCCAAGAAGTATTGGACCTTCGAGGATGCTAACGTTAAATGCTCAAATACAAAGGACATACATCTTAGCCGGTCAGTCTTTTACAGAACTGTTTATTTTAAATAACATGAGAGCGGAATTTTCGGTTCTATTATAATTTTATCACAACGATAACTAAGATCTTTGTCAAATTTGACCATTACGTACAATTTCCGGCACGTAAAAAAAAGATGAAATTCTACGGTTGCTCCGTCACTACTCAAAGCCCCCTCTGAAACAGGCGTTAGCGTGGCACTTACAACAGCAAGCAACAACGGAGCTTAGCGTAATCCCTACTGCCCGCGGCGGTACTGGGATAAATTTAGGACTGCATACACAGTGGCAATGGAACGACAGGTTGTTGAAATTACACCATACTGCTCGATACTGATAGTATCTCACAGTGAGTTAATACGATATTTACCAGTAGACAAACAAGTCTACTCCTTATACAACTATTCTACCGAACGCTCTATTTCAACACGTGTATATTGGCGTGTTAATATCTGATTATTATAATGTTAAGCATTAATAAAGATCATTCTATCATTACGCGCTAGAGTGACAAAACGACCTGAAACGTTTCTATTGTGCAACGGGTTTGTAGCATAGAATCCCTCTAGGAAGAACTATCGAATAAGGTTTTCCCTATTAAACCTAAGTTAAACCCTAGGTTAAACCTAAGTAACTTCGATATAGTTTCTCGACATTTCCTAAAAGCGTAACACACATATATATATATATATATATATATATATATATATATATATATAAAATTTCATTAAAAATCGTTGTTTGTGATGTTAAAGATCTAACATGTTATAAAGTTACCTCTAAGATTTGTTGAAAACCGAAACTAGAACTAAAGCAAATTTTTGGGTTTGCTACTTAACTCATGTACGCATACACAATCGGCATGTAAATTTCGCTCTAAGATTATTCAACTTAATAATACATAACAAGATGCAACCGCTGCCACATCGAAACTTCGATGTGGCAGCGGTTGCATCGATGAGCTTCGATGTGTGGTTTTGTGTTTAAAAGCTTGGACTTTACAGAAGAACAACACCGTGTGGTGAGCTTCCGTACTAAGATGTGATATATTTAACTGTCAAATTATACTATTTGTCGTGAGCTATCGACCAGTGTGTTTGATTCCGGCTAAGCGTTTGCCGATCGAGCCAGCAGATTTTCTAGGTGATCGATTTGTCTACGAGACACGTTCATCTGCTTTTTCCTGACTCATCATTATTGGGTTAACCTGTTCCTCTTGCTAGCCATGATTATACGAGGCTGTCCCTTATGGCTGTAGTAAACCAATTAATAGCAGAACATTAATCTGCAGATGGCCGGAATGAATCTAAACTACTTGTCGACCTATATGAACCTAAAATGAGATTAAGTAGAAGAACAAACTAAGCGATGAATTACTTACTTAATTACAGACTACTATTACACTAAATAGAATTTGAATTGGCCTAATTTACAGACCGTTTAGTACTTAGAGGCAGTCACCTCTGTATAGTGCCTTACGAGATCCCCAATGCGAACTATAATATTGTCAATATACGAAAACCAACATCATCTCACTGCATCGAACTTATCCAAGCACCCACAAAGCCACCTTAGCTCTTCCCGTAGGTAAGATGCTGCGTATAATACGAGAGCTTTAGAGAGGATAGTGACATAGTCATGACAGAGGTGGGCTGCTGGTATCTGGTAGCAAAAAACTAAGTCGAGACACAAAACGATCAAGCTAATCAACTCTTGATATCGTTTTCTGCGTATAATGCAATGTATAAGGTACTAAGGTATAAAGACGATGGGCGCAGAAAGCGTTTTATGGCATGACTCTTTAAGTTTAACCATAAGGTATCGAACCTTCAGTTCAATAAGTTATGTAGTATTTCATAGGCAATAATATATTTGCCAGAAGTTACCTCAGACCTTAACGAATTATGGTTACGAAACGGGGGTAACATCGGTAGAGATACATCAGACAAAAGCAAAGAGTATCGGTCAATTTAAATATATCAAATAGATAAAAACGAATGATAACATTAACAATATGTATGCTAAGCAATTATTGGGTAAATTTTCAAGAACCGCGTAACAGCTTGCTAACTGGGACACTTGGACGTAATAGAAGTATAATGATAAATAAAAGCGAACATCGTAAACATTTATATCTGTAACGTTTTGTTCCTTTCGTAGTTGAATTATGCATGTTAAGACGGGAATCGAGTTAGAAAGGTGAGGCTTTTAGCCTTAATTATGGTGTAGAACAAAGCGATGCAAATGAAGTTAGAAACGTAATAGGCCTAGTTCAACTATCGCAGGGATACATAGGAAGCGAAGCACTTACGAAGGCTATGGGATTGTTAGTAAAGCCAGTTAGTACTATTGGTTTCCTTCAGAAGCGGCTGCAAACAGTTCCCTGTTGCGCTTTAGGTAAAATCATTTCTGACGATAAAAGTACACGGCCCTGACAGAGGTGAAAATATTCGCATATTGCTCTCGGAAGATAGTAATAGTAGGAAAAATCGTACGGTTAAGAAGAATGCAATAAGTTTATTGTGTACGCAGACTGTTGCGTGTACTGCAGAGCCTTTGTCAGGTGGTACGCTGTCGTCTGCTGGCCTATGAAGGCTGGCTTTACTATTTTAGGGAGAGTGAAGTGATGTTAGTTTGAAGGTCTCAGTCAAATCGGGTCGACCATCTTGGTTCAGTTATATCACTGCTTTGTTCCCTTCTTGCTGCTGCGAGACTTCTTTTTTCTATAACATATCCACTTTCCTCATGGCGATGACGCAGCAAACGGTGCGGCATAGTTCTACACTAGGCCTCAAGGAAGGGAAAACGTAACGCGCCTGCTCACTTTATTGTGAGTACCCTTCTGTCATAGAGAGCGCATGATGGCAAGCTGGAGCCGACCCGTGCATCTGATGGAAGCCCGTGCTGTCCTCAGGCCATAGCCTATCGTTCTGAAGGGTCCCAGAGGACAGACCGCTTTGCAACACGCCTACCTAGGCAAGGCAAGACAACTAAGCAGAAAAGAAATGCGGAGCAGAGAGCAACAGCAAGGGGGCGGTGAAGAGAAGCGGCGCGATTTGACCAGCTCGCTGGCCAAGGAGCTGGCAAGGCAAGACATAGGTGAACTAGCCGTTCCTGCTCATGGGCTAGGAAAAATAGAAGTAGTCGGAGAAAAGTGAAGACACGAATTGCCTACTTGGAGCGATATTTTTTGTATGCAATACGCCGGAGAGCTAGAAAGCGGGCAGACAGCCAAATAGGTAGGCGAGCAAGCAAGTAGCTAGGCCGCAAGTCAAAGCAAAGGCGGGTATGGCAAGCCAAGCGATATCGTATTTGATGTAGTCGACCTCGACACACATTCGAGTGTTCTTGCATTTTAGTGCCTACGATAAAGCGGACAGTGTTCACGGAATATGCAGCAACGCTGAATGTAAAGACCCCATTAGGCTGCGGGGAAAGTGAGTTGGTACAACGGGTGGGTGTTACCACTACTACTCAAAAGGGCGGTGAAGTTTAGGGGATTTTCAGCTGCTACTGAAGGGTATAAGAAAGACTGGAAGGATTCCCGTTTGTTTTGTGCACGACCACTTCTTTAGTGTGTTGCTGAGCAAGGAATGGAGCAGATTGCACGAGCGAACGCGCTCAACTTAGCTCAATGCGAACTCACCGATATTCCAACTCTCTCCTCCCGCCACCCGCATCGTCCTAACGCAGGCACCTCCTAGACCGGACGTATTATATATACACCCAGTGTGCACCGGCATACGGATACAAATGCACCTATTCTTCCCTATCGCATCTCATATCGTGATTTGGAAAAGGGATGTGAAACCTCGTCGGTATGCTCCGCCTGCAGACCGCTTTTCGTCACTGAGCTACCACTGCTCGTTCGCCGGTTTCACCCCTCTTTACAGCCACTTTCAGCAGCCGTCCCCTCGCTCCATCAAAAAAGAGGCTGCCTCCACACGAGATTCGGCATAAACAGAGCTGCGGCGGCAGCCTCACGGGCCGAGAAGGGACGCATCTGGCCGGCTTCTTCGTTGGTTGCAAGAAGTGTCGAATGAATATAGCCACGGGAGGGTAAGCGTCTGAGCGACCAGCGTTATTGGGACCACTGCTACCCCATCGCATCCGACTCTACCTTAGCCATGTTCTCTCTTACGATGCTTCCCCATCGCGTTCCAACCGTTCATCGCTGGCTAAATTTACTTTTGTTCGTCGGTCCCCGACGAACCGTCTGCTGATTATAGATCTGTCTCCTGAGAATTGGCAGGTTCTAGTTGGTGTGGCGTCGTAGAGTAAAAGACACCGGGAAAAATCGGGAAACTGGTTTCCTCTCGAGCTCATATATACATATGTATAGCAAGAGAGAAAGAATCCCAGAGACAGGCATACAGATTTTTCTACCGACTTCTTACAATGGGTGTACGAGAAAATCTCAATTATTGTTAATTTTTTAATATATTGAATCTGTCCAAAAATATGTATTTGTATTTTTATACAGTAGACTAACTTTTTTAACTATTTTATGATGGCAAAGCCACTAAATTTTCACAATAAAATCATCGCGACGAGCGAATCTTTCCGTAGCGGTATCTTCGACGAATACTGTGCTAAGCAATTAAGGAAATCGTCTTTGTTTAGTAAGTACAGTCTTGGCAGCGTCCCGCACCGTAAACGTTGTATCGTCCTGTCCAGTAAGCAGCAACCTTCTAACAATAGCGACGAGGAAAGCAATTAAGCGTCCCGTTGTACAGGAAGGGCCTGCTAGCATCAAGCATATCATAAAAGATAAATCGTTTCAAAGTATAGTAAAGGATCTCTTAGGCAGTGTGTATACCCACATGCCTATCAAGGGTAAGAGCTGCACTTTTCGTTACATAAGCATCCCGGTAAAAAAAAGTCGAAAAAAAAAAAACGGAATTTCGTTGCACTTTTATTATTAGCTCTCGATACTTCGGTTTAACCGAAAGACAACCTAGGAAATGCACATAGTTACTATATGTATAGAAGCCGCTTTATTTGATGTGATAACAGCTTAATTTCGCCTGATACAAGAAACGTGTGTCTAGCTACGAACATCGTGAAGCCTAGGCCATTGACGCACGACACTAAATATGGTCATGGCTGAATTGCTTATTGAGTTTTTTGACCGTATTTAATTAATCATTTTTGGCATTTTGACTACAAATCAGATCAGTCGTAATATCATCCTTACATTAACTGACTTCTTAAGTTACACTTCAACAAATATTCTCACTGATTTGCTATTGTATCTATATGCAGAGGCTGGAAGGCATCGATAGGTTGTGTTAGGTCTCACTTAACCCCTAAATATATCCTAGTAAATCTTACTATGAGCACAATTATGTGTCTAGTGATACGTGCGTGTGTATTGCGTGGCAGAATCACGACGCTAGATGAGGTCGGATGTTCATTGTTAGTTGTTGTCCAATTTTTTGTAAAGTCTGTCGTCCCGGGGGAAAAATATCGCCAACGTCATTCTGCTAACTGTTTCAACTGTTTGG